CAGTGATGCGCAAGAAACGACTGATTGAGATGATAACTTGTCGCTGCTGCTTGGTAATATTGATGTTGTCAATGTGTGCCACAGTTAAAGCCATGATTGTGGCACATACTTCTCGTTTCAGTGGTGGCATCCAAGAAACAGCTTGTTCGTTGAATGCTGCACAGCGTTCATGCAGCTGTTTAATCCGACAGCGGCAGCGGCAGCGGGAGTAGAGCTACTGCAGAGAAATTATATGCAAAAAGTGGTTTGCTTGGTTGCTTCCAAATGCTGCGTTCGTTTCCGCCTTCGTTTTTAACATCTGCGCTTTGATAGTTTCATATTGCAATTTTTGCAAAGCCATTTGCTGTCCATTGAGCGTCAATGTCCACCTGTCGTTTTTGTGGCAAGCACGTCAAATGGTGAGCTGGCGATGGCAAACAAATTGAGCAGCGTCGGATTTAGATTTTTTTTCCGGTTCGTTTGAATATTGTAATCAAACATTACTACTACTACGAACTAAACAGGTCTCGAAGGAAATCTTATCAATGAAAGATTGCATAGCCTCACACTGAAAGCAAGTACATAAGGGAATACAGAAATGCAATTTTCTTTATGAAAGTCGATGAGCTCGAAATTCTTTTTGCGAATGGACCGGAAATCACCGCTACTGGTATTTCTTTGGCATTGCCGGTCGGTGGACCTTAGTATATTACTTCAAATGAAAATAAATGAAACTTAGCGGACCATCTTTTTAAAACAAATGGAACGGGGAACCTAAGTACCTATGTTGATAAGAGTACGCGGAATAAGTCTCTGTGGTAACTATTCCCAATACCTGTGAAGCCCATGTAAAAGCTTGCCTGACCGTACGCATGAGACTAGTGAAGGGATGTCTCGACTCCTGGATTCGATTTCATAATTAGACTGGTTGAAGTGCTTGGCTATAGGGGAATTGCAGGACTAAGATCAGTAAACTTCTATCTCATTAGTTGCGAAATCAGAACGGGTAATGGCTTTTTGCGGTTCACTACTGCATGGTTGACCTAAAGCGAGCTCGGTAAGCGCTGGTCAAATAGTAGCAATTGGGTGATCGTAAGTTCTTTTTGGTCGAGGATAAGATCATTTAGTAAGCTCTTTGCCCTCAAAAAAGTTCACCTCTCAACAGTTATAGGACTTCCAACAGGACACTGCCTGATTGGGATTCATGCGGGAAGGTTGAAACTGCTTGGATGAAGACATTTCTTTTTAAATGTCTCGCTTTTGCCATACCAAGGATATATCTCGGATCTCACACTTTTAGACATCCAGTTGTAACAGCGGAAATATAAATAAAGTACCAGATTTGAGATAGGTTGAATTCACTTTGTCGAGAACTAATATTCAAATACAGAAGTTTTTAATCGGGCTTCATAAAGGACTATACTCTGCAGTCTAAGTGTGATCCCCAGTCTAAGGGGTATCCCTAATTCAATTTAATCTGGTTGAATAACATGTTTATAAGTTGAAAATTCTACCATAGAAGTAGAGCGTTCGCTATCTTGGTTGAATTCGTATTTGCGCATTACCTGAACTGAAAATATCCCTGCTCCCTCTTTTTTGATTTCAAAAACGCCGTGTAGTCCTCAAAGCAAAGCTGCTGAACTGCGGATTCATCGGTTTCTGCGGTTTTCGATATTGTCATTAAAAAGAAGGATTAACGAACTAAGTTTGAGCAACGGATTTTCTTAATATATATTTCTTTTGTGAACGCAAGAATGATGTGAAAGTATAATATAAAGCTTCTGATCTGTAGAGTTCGTGGTATGGTTGAATATTACTTAATGTAGCGCTGATTCTCATCTCAGCTGTAGTGGTAACATCTCATCTTTACATCAAACGTTCGAAAGTACTTGTGAGCTAAAAGTCCTGGTTTTGGGCGGCTTGAAATTAGCAGAACTGCCAATTTGTTGAGTAAAACTAAGCCAAAGAGAAGTATAGAAGGCGAAGGTCGGATTTACATTGTGCATAAATGGAACGCTCTTTAATAATAATAATTGCTTGATGTAGCCTCGTACCAGCAGGGCTGGATGTATATACTCCTGAGTAACTAAGATTAGAATATCACTCGTGTTAGTTGCTTTACAGCATATGCAAACGATTTTGTCTACCGATTGAAACAAATTGATGCAACAACAAAAAGCTTTACTAACAGCTGAAACAGCAAAACGAATATTGAACATCGGCTATTCAATACGGCTATTCAATACAGACGTCTATCGCTCACATAAATGCTTTAGCAGTCAACTAAGCAGCCAGTCGAATGTCGACAAGCGTCGAGCCAAACAAATCAACCGACCAGCAAACAGTCGGCGAAGTTGTCGTCATTTCAGTAGCAGACAGCAAACAAAGGGTCTAAAACGTGGCGAGGAGAAAATTCCTGCAAGAGAAAGAATAGCGGTAGTTCTAGTTATTGTTAGTTTGCTAACACGTCAGCAAGAAGTCATAGTAATTTCTGGTCGAATGCATTCGAAAAGATAACTGCAGTCAATTTCTTCACAGTGAGACAAAGCGTTACCGGTAAAATGGAAAGGTGCTCCATGCTACGACAAAAAAATCCAAGCTGAACAAATGCATTTGATGCGAGTGTATTACCTTCTGCGAGCATGCCAGATCGTATCAAAGTTTTGGTTGTGTTTTTATCTGGAATTGTTCATCGAATGGTTGCTCTATCCTTCTGAGTAACGTTGTAGGTTTATTGAGTTGTATTCAAAAAGAGTTTACACTTTGACTTTCATTCATTTAATATACGCACGGTCACCCATCAAGTAATGAATATTTACTTAAGTGGAATCAGTAGAAAGGCGATAATAGAACAGCTGTTAGTTGAAATGAATCGGTTATGCTTTCCTGTCGCCTTTGGATTTTCACTTGCTCTAATTGGAATTTTTACACAGAGTAAATTATTCTTGTAAGAGAACAGAGTTGCGTCTACAATATGTATAAATGGACAGTTATACAAACATCTTGCTGGTTTTGCTGCAGCAACTATTGCTTGCTCGATTTCCGGAAACAGAAAGTTCATTTGATGCAAATGTTTCGAAATCCTCAACTGTGTTATGAAGTACTTTAAATTTTAACCACACATATTGCTTTTTACCGAATTGTCAGCAGATAACTTATTTGTAACTAAATATTCCCATACGATGTATTGAAGAAAAATTCTTAGTATCAGCTAATGAAAGTTTTTATAATTTTTTTCTAATTAGTACCGACTAATCATCTGACTAAGCTGAATGCAGAGTCCATCCATCTTCTCAGGTTTAAAATTTATGTTTTCTGCTTAATAGGGGCCCACGATTTTAAGCTCTCTATCTAAAAATTCTTGGCACTTCTTTTCATTAGTTGGCAATCCTTATAATAGTGATTTTTCTTTAGAAACTTAAATATACTCTACTCCGACATTTATAGTAGACTAGAACTCAATTTTTATGCAGTATTATAATTCACGATTGAGTAAAGATATACAAAAGCTGAGAGATAGTTTATCATTTTTCTCTAAATTACACACAAGCTTGGGTCTATAACTATATTCGTACGTTTTTTAAACATTTCAATAATACTTCAAAGTATTGCCCATCTGAAGGTATAAAATTTCAAATCTTTCTGGCAATATGTGGATTTCATCGCAAAAGTAGTGGGCCAAGATTGAATGAAGCCAATTTCTACAACAATACCCATTCGGAATCGATCGGAAGATATCGTAGTTAAAAAGGGCAAGGTTTGAGCTATAAGACGGGTGAGGCAAAAATACCCAATCGCTGTTTTCCAAACAGTTTTAATCTTTCTTTCAACATGAGATCAAGCGTTGTCATGATTATTGCCTCGCGTCTAGTCGCAAACTCCTACCGTTTTTCGGCAATCCCCGCTTTAATTTGTTGTGTTGTTTCAGAAGCTCATAATACAGCACGTCCTTCTGATCCCACCAAATACAGAGCATAATTTTGGCGTCATAGATATTTGCCTTTGACGTTAATTTGGCTGGTTGGTTAGGTTTCACATATAATCTTTTGCGTTTAAGTTTGCCGTAATACATCCTTTTTTCATCATTATTGTTTTTTGTCTTCCAAACCAAAATCACTACTTTATAATCGTGCAAACCTCTTTTAGCACATTTTCTCAGCTAGAATGAAGAAGAACTCCCTGCAAAAACATTTTCTCAGGCCTAACTCATATTTGAATGAAAAGAAATATTGTTGTTTGTTGTATGATTGATACATATACCGAAAAAGAGGCTCAAGAATGTTAGGAATTTTCCAACGCGTGTTCGGAATATTGGAACAATGGAATAGTAATCGAGTTTCCATTTCTTGGTGGACTCACGAATATAGTTAATAAAGCATGGGATATGATGGGCATTTAAAACAAATCTCATAGCCCAATTGTTTTGTCTTCAGTGGCTTCTAAATTCACAGGGTATATATATAATATTAAGGTTTGAAAAATTTTTTGCGAAAATACGCACAAAGGAATGGTTTTCCTTTCAAATATACTAGTAATTTGTAATATACAAGCCATCATCGTTTCGCCATTTTTTATTGAGTGAGTTGAAGAAGAACGTACGTCATTACAGTGGTATAAAGCCTCTTTTTTACAATCCTTCACTGTGGTGGTTTCGAGATTGTTTTTTTTTCATTTTTTATTCAAATAAAGGGTGTTTTTTAAACATGTGATTTTAAGGGGAAATAAAACGCATATGCTCCTAATTCAACTTTATGGACAACAATTTAGCTTTATTATAAAAATAAGAGTTGAATTTGGTATGCCCACAAACCAAGATCCTTCCACAAAATCGTCCATAAAGTGGATGGGCATAGCTCCAACTATTGCGGGTGATGGCGGATAAACTTATTCGGGTCTTCTTTGGTACTCTGCTCCACAACAGCAATAGCGTCTTCGGTGCGCACTGTACGGCGCTTTGATGATGCGCATTATCCACTAGAGTCAACGTAGTATGAAAACGAATCAACGTTTGTTTGAATTACCAACTCTGCCGAGCGATTATGCCGACCGAACCGTACCATTTTGGTAATATTTTTGCAGGATTTGACATTCCGGGATAAGTCTGTTCATTATAAAATGGGAAACCAAAATGAGTATAAACAAGTCACAGCTGTCAAAAAAAAATTCTGATTTGTATTGCCGCATTGAAAGCCACAAGTCTAAAAAACTATCCTTTACTATATATATTAAAGTCCTGATTAAGTCTGCCTTTCTTATTCCCCTCTTCCGTCCCACACAAAAAAACCATCGCATGCGTCTTAATAAATTTCTCTTTCGCGAAATGTTAAATTTATTTAACAACGCGAAGTCAAACAAGAAGTCAAATGATGCCATATTATATTGCCAGCAAGCCAGACAACGAACAGCCTGTTAACGCACTACGCGAGTATCAAGACAAAATTGTTAGCGTTGTATTCAAATGTATGGGCTTGCAGCCATATACACTGCTTGTATAAGTATATTCAACTCAATTTACACTGTTGGAGAGAAAAATGTGTATTCGGAGAGCAAAGAAAAAATTGTAGAAATAGTGCATTTGCATCCGTGATTTTTTTTATCAACATTAAATCGTCTCTGTCTGCGTTTGCATTGCATAACTAACGAGCAAAAATGAATAAAGCGGCTGAAAAGCCAGACGTAATGAACAATTCAGACTTCAACCAAATGTCTGTGGATTTTTTCCGCATGTCGTCCATATGTCCTTTGTGCGAATGTGTCCGTGCCAGCGTGCGTGTGTTTGTGTTTATATGCGTGACTGCAAATTTGCTTAATATTAAATTTCGCTTAACTGTATTACGTAAGACCACAAGGAAAGTATGATTTTGTCTTTGACATTGTCATTGCCATTCTGCTTTCAACCTCACCCCACTTCACTAGCAGTCTGTCACTGGCTCATTTGGAATTTTTGATATCATTCTGCAGTCGGTTCAATTTGTGGTTACAGCTTTGTATGGACGCCTAGACATGCAAAAAATGTTGAATGCAAGAATTTGAATGTTGATTAACAATGCTTTTAAACATTTATCTGTGAAGCACAGTTAAGGCATACTTAAATACATATATCTGCATCAATATGGATCAAAATTTTTGCTAGGCTAAAACATGCTGAAACCAGTGTGAATTGATGTGGACCAACAGGGCGTATGAGTGCTGCTGGAAATATTCTTAAATTTCTTTAATTGATTTCATTATTATTTTGTTTAATATAAACCATTGGACATTGGGAGAGAATAAATTAACGATAATAATATTGTTATAGCTTTTAATAAAATTTGTTAGGTAGAATTGAATCAGAATCAGTTCTTCAGCTGCTCTACTGACAAGCTAAAATATTTATATGTATTGTAGTAAAGAGCTTAGTAGCTACATCTTTATATTGTGTTAATACCATAATGTAGAAGAAATATAAATTATGCTTTAAGAATCTTTAGGTTGAGGTTGAGTGCATGACATTGAGTCAAAATAGTGTACAAAGCTTGTGGTGGCTTAACAAGGCAATCATCACGCCTAAAAATTCAATAGACATGGTAAAGCAAAGGACGACAAGTAATTTGATGGCTTTTAATAACTTAAAAATAAAGATCGGAATGGATTTATTGCTTTGTTTTAGCAGTGGAACACCATAGAAAAATATAAGCGGTCTTCGGCTCGCCATTTCTTAGCCACGTTTCTTTAAGCGTTGCTCTCTTCTCAAAAAGTTTACTTGTGAAACGTAGTTGTCTAAATAAATTCGATTGAAGAGAGTATGTGTATATTTCCTCAAAGTGCTTAGTTTTCCCATAAGTTCTGTTACAAGCTCAGGCTATTATAAAAATGCAAATATAATACAGTTTTGATAAAGTTAATTTTATTCAGTGAGCAATATACAAAATTGTATTCGAAATTGCCGCTTTTGCTTTCACACGAGCTCTAAAATGATTTGACCGTTGATCAACAGCAGCACGTACAGTTTCTATTGGTATTGACGACGTTGGTCGAAAGATTTTTTGAGACTGTCCAAATCTCTGTAGGGTATTGGATAGTCTATCTTCTGTAACTTCTATCACAAACTGTACTCCAATGAATTCAAATCTATACTTCCAGACCGCCAATCATACGCAGCTATGAAACCAAGAATATTGCTTTTTAGCCACTGCTGGGTAGTTTATGCTTTGTGTGCTGGAGCAGAATCTTATTAGAAGATGTTCTCCATCAAAAAAAATATTGCTTAACTGCTTTACCACGTCTTCTAAAACTTACTGCTGATACACTTTTGCCACAGTTTTAACCCATGTTTCACGGAAGTGAAGAGTTGTAACGTCTTTTCCGGAGAATCCTCACCAAACCATTACAGCGGGATGGTGACCACATTGAACGTTTGGCATACGTTTTTTTTCATCTTCGGAAGTTTTTGCCTTTTCGCTTATTAAAAACTTCTTCAACAGTAAACATTTTTTCATCTGTAAAATGGATGACCGTTGACCGCGTGCCACTGAAGAAATCTGTTGAGCCTAATTTGCTTCAAGCAAGTTGTTAGAAGATGACTAATTGACTGATCGTAGGCTTTAATGTGGAGATCATCCCGAATAAGTTTCGATATTGATATAGTCCATATATCCATTTCCCCCAAAAATTTTATATTTTCTAAGGGGATTTCTACAAATTCGTGAATTCGTTCGCAAACAGTTTTTATGTTACGCATATTTATATGTAACCATTAACATGTCAGTTTAAAACTTACTTCAATATTGATCTGTACTTTGTCTTATTTTTGTAGATTTTAGATAAGTAAACCTCACCGAAATTCGACTTTTCAAATCTAAGGAACTGACCTAAATTAATTTAAGAGTTTTAAAAATGCTAAAAATTTAAGTTTTATTTCAAAAATGAACGATTAAAAATTTTAAACATTAAATTTCAAGCGAAAACAGCTGTCAGAGAAAAACACAGATATTTGCATTACTTGTTTGCTCCGAAGAGAATATGTAAATACACAAGAGAGCAAATTTTTTTGCAGTCACTATTGTATTTGCAGTATATTTGTAGGAATTTAATGCAGTGTTATAATATTGAAAATGGGCACATATATATATACACACACACACACAAGTCAAATGTGTTAACAAGCAGCAGCAATCTGGGTGACAGTAACTGTGTTGTGACCAGGTGCATCACGGCGTGTGGCATGGGTATTTGGTATTTGGTGGGTGCAGTGTTTGTGGAAAAGACAAAACACTCGCTGTCGATGCAATGAAACCTGTTGGCCACAAATAACGGGGTCATAAAGCACAAAATGAATGGCGTATAATGAAAAGCCAGGAACTTTCCGTGCGAATTTTATATTGCAAATACAATTTTTTGCGTGTTTAAATATTTGTATGTTCCTTGGCGTATAGCAAGCAATTTTTTGCAGCTACTGTAAGCTTATCAATACTGCCCTCATTGTTGACAAATGTCAAATGCAAGCTTTCAACTCGCTTTATTCACAGTTTATATCGCGGGCTATTGGCTGATGCGTCCATTCGTTTAACGCACTGCACTTAAATGGTTTTTGTAAGCGTAGTTTTTTCCTTGAGCACATTTCATTTTATCCCTTGATCATTCGTGACGACCATTGTTTACTATTTGTTGATCGTTGACATGAGACGGCATATCTTTGACTATTTTATTGTATTTCAAAAGTGTACATTTTTTGCAAAGCAATAAAAATCTCAAGTGTGAAAGTAGCAACAGTGCAATAAAATAGTAAAAAAAGATTCAAACTAAATGTTAAATCATTTCTAAAAGTTTGCAATATTGTAGCGAATAGTTTACAATGGAACTAGTAATAGAAACACATACAAATTAGTAAATAGGGTAAGAGTAAAAAAAACTTAAAATAAATGCACAATACGTACAATATTATTATACTCTTGCAACATCTTCCTCATTTACGGTGCATAATATCTACTTTTGTTCACTTAAAAGTTATTTGTATCACCTAAAACTAATCCAGATAGATATGAAGTTATGTATATACAAGTGATCTGAGTGACGAGACGAGTTGAAATCCGGTTGACTGTCTGTACGTCTGTCCGTCTGCGCACGTTGTAAACTGAGTAAAAATTTTGGCACCCAAGGGAATTTGATATTGCAGTTAGGCAAAATCGGACCATTGCCACGCCCACAAAACGTCATTAATCGAAAACCTCTAAACTGCCATAATTAAGCTTCACAATAGAATACAAGGCTGTTATACCTACACGTGATAAACCTATAAATAAGTGTGCTAGAGACATAAAATTTGACTCCCGTAAACGTACAAAAGGGTTTATTAGGAGCTGGTGTCAAATTTGGACGATGGGCGTGGCACTGTCCATATTTATGTGAAAATCCATATCTCGGGAAGAACTCGACTAATTTCAACCAAATTGGGTACATAATATTAAGGCAAAATTATAAGACAAAAACCATGCCTACTTCCCATATAACAGAATTTAAAATTACAGCCGATTCCCGTTAAAAAATGGTCCACATCGGACCAAAATTATTCAAGATCTTTTTATCGTAAAAAGCATAACCCTAATGTAAGATTTTCAAACTTTCTGTTGGCCTTATACTATATACTATATCAGTTAATATGTAAGATAACTTAGCAAAATAAACTGAATATATATATATTATTGGTTATAATATAGTTTATATGTTATACTACATATAATAATTAACGTTATTCTAACAAACCCTATTATATCAATGGTTTAGGGCTGAACATAAATAAAGTTGGTCTAGATCTTGGTTTTAATCCCATTTCCCTAACATCATCAGCTCCTATCTTCTGGTTGACGTTCATAATCATCTCAATATATTTAATTTGACCTCTTCAGTTAAGTTTATATCAGATACATCTCATAATCAATAATAAGCCCATGATTACCCTCCTCCTCTCCAGTTTTGAGATCTAAAACTGCTCAGCTACAGAAACAAAAATTTCAACAGCTAAGATTTGTAGTTACGACATAATAAAATTTTACGATTTTATTTATTAGGAGAAACCAATAAA